CCATGGATCCATCCTACTGAATCCTGGGACTTCCAATTTAGGGAGGGGTATTTAGAGTTCTCAGCCAGAGATCTCTAGTGTCCTCCCTTTGAACTACAAATCCTAGGATCCCACACACAGGATGGAACCATGGTAGATAAAGTGGAATCAAAGTGCTATAATTGTGGGGTGTAAAAGGACTGCAAATGAAGAGCTTGAGAGTCTTCCTATTATGACTAACACATTTAGAAATCAAGTGTAGTTTAGCTGTACCATGACCTAGAACTGTTTTGTTCAGTTACCCCAGCAGAGCGTATTGTCCACAAATTGCTTGGAAAGAGACTCAGTACACTCACTTCCTGTTCTTATTTGTGCAACAAACTTGTGAGGTACCTCTGTTTCTGGATCCTAAGTTGTGACGTGTGGCATCATATAGAAAACAGTATCTTGGAAACCCAGAGTCTGTCAGTGGTTAGCCAATTGCAGTGAGCTCGGTGGAGGAATAAACCCTTCATAAACGACGGAGTCTGCTTGCCTGTTTGATTTAGCCAAGCAGTCCAGCAACAGTAGCAACCTGGCAAGTGTCAGCAATAAGGAAGCAAAGCAAAAAGAAGGCTGATTGGTTCCAGGCATTCCCAATTTGAAAACTAGGTAAGTACTGTTCTGTGTACTGTATCTTCCTTTAGCAATTCTTGCTGGGGATCAAGGAGAAAAACCCTGTCAAACTTTAAAGAATCCCTGTGACCTACATCCTGATTAATAGCTACATTCTCCTGATGGTTATTAGACTTTGAAATATGTCAGAGGCCATATAGGATGCTGTGAGACAGAGACTGGGACATGAACCAGATTCAGATCACAAGAAAAGAGATCCACTTAAACATCAAAAGAAATGTGCCAGTAAGAGCTATTTAGCAATAGAATTGACTGCCTTTGTGGAGTTGTCTTCTTTTTAAAGAGCTTGGGTGGCCACATTTCAGGAGTGCTTTGGTTGTGTATTCCTGCATGGCAGGGGGTTGGAATAGATGGCTCAAGTGACCCCTTCCAACTCTGATTTGGTTGGGTTTCAACTTCGAGGTCTAGAATTTCTGTCAAAATGAAAGCACTGTTCAGGAATTTGTGGGTTCAGGCCAGCCAAAATGAAATTCTGGCCACAGTAAAACATGTATTTGTAATATCTTGTCCATATTATGATCCATGGAGGGATGAACACCGAAGCTGGGGTTAGTATAGAAAGGAGCAACAGCTTGCTATCTGTAACATCATATAGGAAACAAAAATTACATTTTAAAGGCTTTCAGGACACTTCTGGCCTGAGCTCAGGGTGTTAAGTGATGCTGTTAAGAACCCTAAACAAATAGAGATCTTAATATCTCCTTGCATACAGGATATGGAGGAATGAGAAGTTCACCCTGGCTATGGAATAATCTCACCTGAGAGGTTGTTGATGGTGGTCTCAGCTAGGCATCAATTTAGAGTTGTCTATTTACCCAGTCTTTTGTGTCTGAGGATGCATCTGCACTGCAGAATTAATGCAGTTTGACACCGCTTTAACTGCCATGGCTCCATGCTATGGAATTCTGGGATCTGTTGTTTTGTGAGCTATTTAGCCACAGAGCTCTGCTACCACAGCAAACAGCAAATCCCAGGGTTCCATAGCATGGTGGTTAAGGTGGTGTCAAAGTGCATTATTTCTTCAATGCAGATGCAGCCTGGGCAATCATAGCTAGATTTAGATCCACTGGATTCTGGGGTTTTATTGGGCTCTATGATTCTGTATTAAAGTACTTTTAAACTGTTTTATTGATTGTATCCTGACCTGAGATATTCCTGAATAGAAAACAGATTAGGAATATTTCCCTAAATAAATATTTTACCAAAAAAGAGGGACTGACCCTTTTATGGCTAAACAACAACAGAGTTTTGTTGTACCTTGAAGACTGAAGATATTAATAATTCTATGAAATTCCATGAACTACTGGAGTGTATTTCAGCAGAGGCATGAAGCAGTATCCTCCACTGGCAAAGAGAGACACAGGAGACACATATACACATAGAGAGCACACTAGTGTGTCGAAGGAGTAAAACCAAGGAGTCCACTTGGACTGGGATTACAATTATTTACATATAGCAGCATGGCATAGTGGTTTGAGTGCTGGACTATAACTTTTGTTAATCTGCTCTCCTACCCCTAGCTGCTATTGTTGTTGCTTTGTTTTATGATTTTATTGTTTGATGCTGTTTTTAATACCATTTTAGTTTAATCTATTTTTAAGGGGTGGGAGGGTTGGGGGGTATTTGGTGATGTGTTTTATCCTTGTATTGTATATGATCCATGGAGGGATGGACACAGAAGCTGGAGTTAGTATAGAAAGGAGCAACAGCTTGCTATCTGTAACATAATATAGGGGCAAAATTATATTAAAGGCTTTCAGGACAATCTGTTGTACGCTGCCCCGGTTGCTTTGCAGAGGGGTGGGTTAGAAATAAAACTTATTATTATTATTATTATTATTAACTTTGGAGACCAGGGTTCGATTCCTTGCTTGGCCGTGAAACCCACTGGGTTACCTGGGCCAAGTCACAGCCTCTGATTCTTAAAAGGAAACCTCTGAACAACTCTTGCCAAGAAAAATCCATGATAGGGTTGCCTTAGGGTTGCAATAAATCCAAAAAGACTCGAAGGCACACAACACACACACACACACAGGACCTATACAGACTGCCAGAAATAATCCAGTTTGAGGCCACTTTAACTGTCCTGGCTCAGTGCTAGGGAATCATGGGAATTGTAGTTTTTTTGAGACATTGAGCCTTCTCTGTTAGAGAACTTTGGTGCTACAATAAATTACAGTTCCCATGATTCCCTAGCACTGAGCCAGGGCAGTTAAAGTGGTCTCAAGATGGATTATTTCTGGCAGTTTGTATAGGACCATAGTTAATATAAGCAGTAGGAAAGTTGGGTTTTGGACAGCATCCCCCAGCCACATGACCACAGTAGCCATTCAGACCAGGATAGTCTTGGCGTTGTGGTAAAATAAAAATTATTTTTATATTTATTTCTTTATTTTTGGTGCTTCGGCCCCCCAATTGTCTGAG